GTCCCAAAGAAACACATAGAGGTCTACATTAATTACAAACTGGCTGGCCTATTAGCTCAGGCTTCTTATTAACTAATTCTTACATCTTAAATTGGTCCATTATTCTTGTTTGTGTTAGCCACGTGACTTGGTACCTTTATCAGAAAGGAGTTCTCATCTTGCTCCTTCTGCATCTGGATGATGACTGCACACTGTGCCTTTCCTCTTCCCAGAATTCTCCTGTTCTCATTGCCCCACCTCTACATCCTGCCTATTTGCCCCACCTATACTTCCTGCCTGGCTACTGGCCAATCAGTATTTTATTAGATTAAATTATATTAAAACAATACAACTGAGAAATCTTTATAGGGTATAAGACCATTGTCACACAGTAATGGAGGGTGCTTGGAGGAGGGAAAGTAGAGGAGGCTGCTGTAGAAATATGTGAGAGAATAAAGAAAATATTAAAAATATAAAAAGAATGTTTTGTATGGTTTGTAAAATCTGTATTGGTATATCTTTACCAATTTGGGGAAGTTTGCTTCTATGATCCTACTGAAAGTCTGGTCTATACCAGTGACTTGAGAGTTACCTTCTACTATGCCTGTAGTAGATAGATTTGGTTTTTTTTTAACGGCATCTCACAGTTTCTGCTTATTCCTTTATTGTGTTTGAAAACAAATTTTATATTCTTTGTTTGAATGTCTCAAATCCTCTACATTATCTCTAAATCCTGATAGTCTGTCTTGATCTACTCTAGTGGTAAGTCTTTCCCCTGAGTTTTCTAACTGGGTTATTGAGTTTTTACCTACTTTGCAAATCAAGGGATCTTGTCAAAACAATTAGTCAAAATAGACCTTTCTAACAGGGAGAAAAACTGAATTCAGTTTTAAATTTAAAAAAAAAATCTGTCATTGAAAGACACTATGGTAAATATCTCAAATTTAAATGCTGATTCTAAAAGAGATAAGGTTCAGTCATTTGTTTTTTGTCTTTTAGAAATAAATGAATCCATGTCTTCTTTAACTCTATCACTGATGTTTGGAGGATTATTGAAGCTATGCTCTCACTGACAGAAATATCTCCATTCCAACTCTGTAGTCTTTTTATAGTAAAGATTTCCAACATAGGCACAAAACATCTCTTTCTAAACTCTTAAATATGTGATTAACTGGGAAAATATATGACTACCTCAGATATCAATTTTTTAATGGATTGATTGATATTAAAGTTTTTTTCTATTCTGGGCCAATGCCTCATAGTAAGATTAAAGATGCTGAGAGCTGGCTGTGGACAAGGAGTTGAGAAAGAATGGAGACTAAGTCAAGCACCAAATGTGTCAGACAGGACAGATTTACAAAATAGAATATGGAAAATGTAGAAAGTGAATTAGATATTTATTTATGTGTGCATACTCTTAGATGATTCCATGAATTCCTGTGGGTACACATGACATAGTCTGAAGAATTATCTTCTTAATGTAAGTCTTAATCAAAAGGTCTCAATAATTCTATGGGTTCCTCAGTGGAATATCAATTCCAAGGAAGGTGAGTTGTTTTAGTTAGAAGAAAATGAGTATCTCCTACATATAAACCATTGAGATCCTGAAATTCTTCTCATTGGTTTTGATGAGAGGATTTTAATAAATGATGTCTCTCTCTCTCTCCTTCTCTCTCTCTCTCTCTTATCCTTTTCTCCCTCTTCTCTCTCTCTCTTTCTACACATACACACACATACACACATACAATACATACACATATCTCTTATAGGGTGATGACTTTAATAATGAGTACATGATATACTTTTATTATTATTTTAAATTTGTAATCATTGTCACATAACTTTTTTAAATCGATTTTTATTGAGCTCTACATTTTTCTCTGCTTTCCTCCCTGCCTCTCCCCTTCTCCCTTCAACCCTCCCCCAAAATCCCATACTTCCAATTTACTCAGGAGAGCTTGTCTTTTTTTTTAAATTGCTCTCAAGTTTCCTTCCAAGGCCATTTCTTTATCTAAAAAATATTTATTTATTTATTTATTTATTTATTTAT